GGGAACTGAGGCGAAACTGGGGAAGGACTGGGGGGGACACAGAGGGGGGACTGGGGGGACATTGAGAGGCGATTGGGGGGACATCAAGGGAGGACCAGGGGGATGCTGAGGGGAGAAGAGGGGGACACTGAGGGGACACAGAGGGTGGATCGGGGGGACACTGAGGGGACATTGAGGAGGACTCTGAGGGGGACACGGAGGAGGGACCAGGAGGACACGGAGGGGACCCTAAGGAGGGATCATGGGGACACTGAGGGGACACTGAGGGAGGACCAGGGGGACACGGAGGGGACACGGCGGGGACACGCGGCAGGCACTCGGGCTCACCTGCAATGAGCGTGCTCTGCTGCCGCGCCTGCTCCAGCAGCAGCACGTGCTGCAGCAGGGACGGGGACCCGGCGGGGGGGTCCCCGTCCAGGGCCACCCCCAGCAGGCAGCCCGGGATCGAGGACGTGCTCAGGAACTTGCCGGTGAGGGTGGCCCCGGGGCGCAGCGGGGACACCCCCGGGGGCACCCCCGGCCGCTCGGCCTCTGCCTGTGGGGACAGCTTGGGGGACACCTGCGGGGACAGCGGTGACACTGGGGGTGCCAGCTCCCTGTGCCACCCCTGCGGGGTCCCCACGTTCCTGCTGGAGGGTGCCAGGCCACCGTGCCACCCCACACTGTATGCCCATATCTCCCCTGTGGGGTTCCATGTCCCAGTGCCACCCGCCACGGTGTCCCCATGTCCCCAGGGGGACACTTATGCTCCCTGTGTGGAGTTCCATGCCCCAGTGCCACCCACCATGGTGTCCCCATGTCCCCACCACGGGGTGCCAAGTCCCAGTGCCACCCAGCCCAGGGTCCCCGTGCCCCCACTCACGGGGAGGTGGGCGCTGGTGACGGTGACAGTGGCCTGCAGCCCCAGGGACAGGTTGGGCAGCGACGGGGACGTGTAGAGGCTGAGCTGGGCCCCGTCCAGGGCCAGGGCACGGGGCTGGGGCAGGAGCTGCTGTGGCACCGAACGGCAAACGTGGCATCAGCACCAGGGGGACACGGCAGGACAGGACAGGGCAGGGCAGGACAGGGCAAGACAGCCACTAGCATGTGTGGGGACAAGACAGGACAGCCACCAGCATATGTGTGGACAGAACAGGACAGGACAGCCACCAGCATGCGTGCGGACAGGACAGGACAGGACAGGGCAGGGCAGCCACCAGCAAGTCTGGGGACAGGGCAGGATGGGGCAGGACAGCCACCAGTACATGTGGGGACAGGACAGGACAGGATGAGACAGCCACCAGCACATGTGGGGACACAAGAGGCCACCAACATGTGTGGGGACACACCACCAACACGTGGGACATGACACCAACAAGTCTGGGGACACAACAGGACAGGCCACCAGCACATGTGGGGACACGCCACCAACACGTGTGGGGACAGGACACCACCCCCGCACACACGCGTGTCCCTGTCGCTGTCCCGGGCGTACCTCGCTGTGGATGTTGGGGACAGAGGCGGCCAGGCCGTTGTGGGCACCGTGGGAGCTGTTGGGGGAGCTGGGCCCCGACCCGGGGGCACTGCTGCACACAGATGACACTGCGGGACACAGGCGTGTCACACAGGCACCTGTCCCGGGCGTACCTCGCTGTGGATGTTGGGGACAGAGGCGGCCAGGCCGTTGTGGGCACCGTGGGAGCTGTTGGGGGAGCTGGGCCCCGACCCGGGGGCACTGCTGCACACAGATGACACTGCGGGACACAGGCGTGTCAC